AGGTGGCGGAGACCTCAGAACGGTCAGCGAGGCGGACCACGGTCGAGTCTGGCTTGCGACCCTTTACGGTGGATGAATGGGGGGTCATGGAGATAGAGCACCCGGAGTCGATGTTCGCATTGGCAGAACCGGAGGTCTCTATAGATGGAGAAGAGTCGGAGGCGACGATCGCGTTTCCTGCGCGTTCAGGAATTGAGAAGTCACACTCCTCTTCGGAGGAATCGTAGCCGAGCTCCACGACCGTGGTCTGACCAGCAGTCGCGGGTGGTTTAGAGGCAGGAGGTTGACGGGAGGATGATTTGTCCGAGGTAGTCGGGCGGGACCGATTGCGCGAGTTGTCGGAACGGCGGGATGAGTCAGTCGCGGAAGATCGCCCGGATTTATGCTCGGAAAGAACGCGAGCAGCGTTCTCACAGACGGCCAAGTTGTGGCCGCTACGGTTACAGAACGAGCAGTGTAAGGCCTCGTTGAAACGAGGGCGATGCTTATAGGACTCGGCTCGAGCTTTAGAAGCAGAGACGGTGACGTCGTCGTCACGTCTGGCTTTTCGTCGGAGGGACTCCGCCTTGAGGGCAGAGACGATGCGAGCCGAGGTGACCGAACCCTCGTTCATCAAGGCGGAGACGCAGGGCAACCAGTCATCCGTCAAGGAGGTGAGTAGAGCGGTCGCGTGGATGTCGTCGACCGTGAGCGGCTTATCGGGCGTGACTAGGGACCCCAAACGTTCCGCGCAGACCGCCATCGACTCGATGTGAGAGTCGATGTCATCGCTGGAGAGGCGAGCAACGACGAGCTGTCGAAGCCAATGCATACGCCCACCGGAAGAAAAATCTTGATGGGCCTTGGAGAGAGAGTCCCACATAGCGGCGGCGTTGGTGCCGTGGGACCTAACGAAACGCAAGTTGCTGGGGTGAATCGTTCGGGCTATGAAGGACGAAACAGAGATGCTGTCCGCGGTCCAGGAAGGCGGACGGGATTTCGCATCGGCGACGGCAGTTGCGTCGGCGGTGGAGGCGGCTGGAGGTTCGAGGACATACGCGAGCTTAAGAGACTGAAGGTGGAGCATGACGACGAAGCTCCAGTCCAGGTAGTTAGAGTCAGCTCCCTGAGGTTTGAGCTGAACGATACCGGACACTTTGAGGTTGAGAGCGTCAGAGGCGTCCGACGATTGGGCTATGGGGTCGGCCATAGCGAGGATCTTTCCGAAGGTCTCATGGAGGGGTGTAAGGGAGGGAAAAGCGACGAAGTCTGATTGATACAAGTGTAGCAAGAAGGATTCGAGCTGTTATGCGAAAATGGGCATCATAACCTGTTGAGATGAACACCCTGGAGACAAGTATGTTGGAAAGGATAAGTTCATTTCAACATGACAGGAGAAAAGAAAAAGGAAGAGAAAAGAAAAAGATGACTATACCTGGAGACAAGTATGTTGGAAAGGATGAGGAAAAGAGAATCCTCCCAGACACACTTGGCTCCAGTATATGAGCTGAGGAAAGACAACAAGATGTCACACTCTGTGACATGAGAGAGATGAGTGAAATGAAGGAAGAAAGAAAGCACACTGACAACTGTGAACATGTCACGGTATCTCAACACTTAATTCTCCGATTTATGTACAACTCAACCACCTGGGGCCTTGGGGGGTACCCCTGACCCATCCCGACCACTGGAACCTGGGTGGTTCCACCCAAGGTGTCACCCCAGCAACGGTGCAACAGAGACAATACGAGATGGTATCAGGCTTTATTTGTATTGTCTCAGAAGTTGAATACCCAAAAATACCGGATTTGTGTTGTCTCACTTTCCTGAGACAATACACATGTATTGTCTTTGGGAAGTGAGACAAGTATTCTGTATTGTCTCAGATGACTGACCCCACCAAAAATGCATTTTATACACAAGATATTTGGCCATATTGAGGAAAAAAAACAAAGACGATTTATTTTTCATTTTTAAATCTAAATCCAAGACAATCAATTTTCTCACAAACCAAGGAAATACTGATACTGGTATCAGGCTCAAAATAAAGACAATACAATCCGATACAAATACATGTCTTTTATCTGTTGCACTGTTGACCCTGGGTGGAGCCTTTTGGGTGCCAGCCTTAATTTCAACCTCTTGGCCAATTGGTCATCATGACTCTCATCAACTCACCCACACCAACGCTGGGCCAGCTACGCTAACCGTAGCGTTAGCGTGGCGTAGCGCAGCGGAAATGCGCTACTTTGTAGCGTAGCGTTAGCAAAAAATCCACCTTTCTTCGCTAACGCTACGCGCAAAGGGCACAAAAGTGTGTTAGCTGTTAGCGTAGTGTTAGCGCAGAAAATCGGAATTGCGCTAACGCTACGCGCTCAGGGCACAAAAAAGTGCCCGCTACGCCGCGCTACAGGGCTGTTTACCGTGTTTTTTGCCTTTTTTGCCGCTAAAAGCGCTGTAGCGCAGCGTAGCGGCTGTAGCGATGCGCTAACACTACCCAAAAACATGCCGCCTGTTAGCGGGGCTACAGCGTAGCGGCGGTAGCGGCACGCTAACACTAAAGAAAAAAGGGCCTGTTTTTGCGCCGCTACGCTAACGCTAAGTGGCCCTTTAGCGTAGCGGCCCAGCGTTGCCCACACCTCCGGCTTTGCACTACACAATTCAAGGTCAGTTTTTTTTCTCATGTTTACTTTTTCTCTTTCTACTTCACATTTGTTGACTCCTCTGTTAATCATTTCCCAGGTTTCCGAAGCAGGGGTAACGGATCCTGAATCAAATATAATGGAATTGGAAGCAGACAAACAGAATGCCCATGAGCTTGCTCAAGAACTCCAAGAGTCAAATCAAAAGACATTCCAGAAAGAAAAATTCCTCAAAGCCAAAGGAAAAATCAACAAAAAATGTACCTAAAAGAAAAATTGTCTTACACACAAGGAGCAAAAACCCAATGCAATCATCAAGGATGAGGTCTGAGAGCTTATCCGCAAAAACATTGTTAGAAATGGGATGAAGATGGCTGATGCCATGAAGCCATACAAAGTCTCTTGGTGCCAGATCCAGTGCATCAAGAGAGAGGTCCCCAATCTCATCAAGACATATAAAAAACAACCAGGAAATTTTACGCTGGAGATGAAAACTGAGTTGCTCTTTCAACTTGAAAAAAAAAATCAACAACAAACTTAGTTGAAATGGCAAGATTCATCAAAGATTGATTTGACATTCAAGTCTTGACACAGGCAGTTATCAATAGAGATGTTGCTTCATACCTGGGTACCTGCCTCAAAAATCCAATATTTTGGACACCTGCACCTGCACCGGCACCCTCCAGGTCTGCCAGGGCGGGTACCCGGGTACCTGCGGGTGTGGAGGATTTTTTGCAGGCAAATATACACAGAAATCTGTCTCAATGACTGGAGGGATTCCTCCAGTTGTCAAGACTTTACACCATCTCAATGGCTGGAGGGCTCCCTAGTCCGGCCTCAACAAAGCAACCAGATTAGAATAACAAAGATTCTTCCAATTAGTTGTAGATATTTTACCATGAATATGAGAATGATTATAATAATAAAGTGACTTGGGACTCTGGGAGTGAAACTAGGTGAAAAAGAGAGGGGGGGTACCTGAGGTACCTGCAACGGGTACCTTGGGTACCCCCCGGGAGGTGTCTGGTGCGGTACATGGTATCTATTTTCTTGAAAAAATGAACAGGTACCTAGGTATAAACAGGTACCCAGGTCCGAACAAACAATCTCTAATATCAATCATTTTCATAACTTGAGATTCATTTTTTGAGGATTAATGAAGAGTTGAAACCATGGAATACTATATTCTTTCTCTCTTCCTTCTTACTTTTGTGTTGTTGCATGTGCATGGAAACAACACAAAGACTTATAATTCATGGGGGCAGTGTTAGCAGTTTGAATGTCTAACAATTGGGAGCGGTTGTCACAGGGGAGCTTCCAAGCTCTACTTGAAAAATTGTGAGACTGACACTGATCTTACATCCCAGGTTTTACAATTGCCCTAAAAACAGGAATCAAGCAGGCTCTTTTTGAATGAATCTTACAAAAAAACAGGGAATGCCTCAGATGGCATGCAAAAACTGGGTGGGAAAGCTTATGGGAAGTAGCTCATGTGTTTTATCATTATGATTTTTTTATTCATTTTTGAACACATGTTATTTTCCTCCTTTCATGCTCAAAAATTGAAGTGTTTGTACTCAGGCCACAGGTCCAACTTTTCCCACAAGCTGATTCCTGCAAAGCCTCTCCCTCAAGGAGAGGGGTCCAACTTATCACAAGTCCCTCGCCTGCATTCAATTCTTCTGCGCACAAAGGACTTGCATATTACATTAAGATTTTGGCTGGGACAGGAAACATGAATGGCTGGAGTGGATTTTGTTAAGCTTCTCACTCCTGGTCCCAATGCTCCACAACCCTGCCCCAGAGCCAGATAAATATTTTGTGGGTGAGCTTTCATTTGGATGTGGTCTCATCCACGCATTTGTGATGGTTCTCCCTCCATAAATTTTTGAAAATAATAAAAAACCATTCTCCTTCAAAACTCAAACCACAGATCCACCAAGATTGGCAAGGCAATCTGCCAAAGATTTTCTAGCCCACCAACTTGCAGATTCAACAAGCAAGATTTTGACTATGAGTCACACTCTCAGCCTTGGCAAATGAGAGCCTCAACAAGTTTAGAAAATAGAATTTCAGACTTAGCAAATCTTTGGAAACTCTCTCAGAGGAATCTCCAAGCTAAGTTTGATAATTCTTGATTCCCACATCTCTTCAAATGCATTTCTTCAGTCATTTTGGGTTGTTCCCCTTCAAATTTTTTACCAATGTCACTTGCCGATAAGGTTCCTATCCGGCCACCCGGGTTCGGGTATTGCATTCCCGAGACCCGACCCGGCATATCCGGTGCCAAAGTCGGGTCCTGACGGATAATAGATGAAAAGCTGACCTGGGAGCTCAGGGATGAAAGTCGCTCAACCATCAACACATTTCCAGCCAAAAATGCCACAAAAACGCGGCGCTGAAGATCAAGAACCAATCAATGTTGACTCCGGCTCCGACATTGAGTCTGTGAAGGCACCTTTCAAGGCCAAAAGCACCAGAACCAGCAAGAAAAGCTGGGTCTGGCATCCAAGATTATACCCGAAATCGAATGGACGCCGAGACCCTCGAAGGACTTATCTGCCTGAAAGATTGGCTTGCCGAAGACATGATCAATGTCGATGACATCCCGACCACAACCTCTGCTTAGTACAGCCCATATCAGACTTTACACACGACATGCTTGTTGTCTTCCCTCGCATTGCTGATAGATAAAATTAAGAAGAAAGCGATACATTTATTTTTAGTCTCACAAACACAGAGCAGAGGATTGAAGCAAAAAATGCATCTCCTCCGACCTGATTCTGCCTGATTTTCATACCGGTATCCAATCGGATACCGGGTTTATCTGAACCCCTTCCAAGACCCAACCCGACCGGGTATCCGGTCGGGTATTGCCGGATGCTCGGTGTCCGGATAGGAACCTTACTTGCCGAGGCAGCACAAGAAACTGGAGGACTTCCTGTCGGACCTGGGACCCTTGCAGTTTGCAATTTAGACCCAAAAAGTCTAGATTTTTTCAGGGAAATCTAGCTTTCAAAGCTCTAAATCAAAACTGGGAGACCCGAAGATGTTGATGGGAAGTCATCCACTGTCTATTCAGTTTTTCTTCAAATTGACCGGTTCTTTTTTAAAAAAAATACTTTGTGGATTTAGGCTTGAAAATCCTTCCCATCCCAGCCAAATGTTTGAATTATGTAATTCATAAGCCTCTCCTACAGAGAATGTCCCACGGGGACGCCCCAGGAGAGGCTTTGTTAAGCCATGAGTGAGGAGCGGGATTGGTTGGGCCCTCCGATTCAGGGATTAGACTAGGGTTCCAATCCAGACCCCAAAGATCCGACGCTACCCAACCAGATACCGGGTCGGGCCGGGTTGGGTCAAGGGATGACTCTAGACATACCCGGTATCCGATCAGGTCTCTATATGCCTAAAATTCTGCCCTGTATAGCAGAAATTCAGGGTTTTTGGGGGTTTTGGACCCTCTTTTTTGGATTTTTATTTTTATTTTTTAAAAAATCAAAATTTAGTTTTGGGCTCTCCCAAACCATTTGGTGAAGTTTGGGCTGGAGGCTCAGATCCGTTGGGTACCCGGCGTCGGAGCCGGATATGTTGGGTTCGGATCTTGGGAAGGCGATACCCGAACCCGGAGGCCCGGATCGGAACCTTAGATCATTAGACAAGCAGGGTGTATAGTTTGGAGTATTTAAGGTACGCGCCAGGGGTGTGGATACTGGAGGGGTGCTTGTTGACTGGAGTCCGAAGCCGAGACAATCGAACTCCTCAATCGTTATCAGGCAAGAAGCTGGGTTCGGACAATGACCAACACCGTTCAATCTTCGATCGTCAATCTCGCCGCAACCTTAGGCCAGATCGGGAAGCTCGAGTTTCGTGTTAGGGACGCGATCAGTAGTGTCGTATTGGCCTCCAACGAGGAATTCGAAGCACATTGTATCAGGGATGCGGATGAGGCCGAACTATCACTCTTCCAGCCGGCGTCCGACCATAACCATCGAGAAGGGGAAGAAATTGGTTGGGCTTCTGGCCCAGCCGTCGTCAGAGCCCAGCCGATCGTCGATAGTCTTCCGGATCTCAAAAAGCTCTCCAAAGCTCATTCTAACCCTGGTGACACGGCTGTCACAAACAGCTACTTGATGGCGATAAAGAAACTGTTGGACGTCTAGTAAGTTCTTTCGCCCAACCAAGAATCATCAACGGGGTGAAATTCTGAATCAAATGTCTCTTCGTCCACATCTTCCGTATCCAAACAAGTCCTCAACCACGCTTGGCAGAACACGTGGAAGCCCTATCAAGACAGTTAGACACCCTTCAAGGATCCATCTCAGAAATGCAGAGCACTTTAAACGTCAGCCTGGACAATCTATTCTTCAAGTTCTCTTGATGGGGATGGTCTCAATCTGATGTACGCTTTCAGTCAATGACCAATCAATCTCAAAGCAGAAAGGCCCCAGCAGCCAAGAAAAAACTCAAAACGATACCCAAAATAAAAACAAAGAAAAAGTCCAGCAACCAACAGGCACTAGAAGAAATTGAAGACTTGATCCAACACGAACAACTTGAAATCTTAGCTCTCACCGACCTGCGTGACGAGAAACGCGTCGAGGTAAAAATTCAATCTCATTTTCAAGAATATTGAAGAGACCTAATGCTTACAATTCATTTTTAAATGTACGTACGTACATTAAAAAGCTTCGAAAGATATCTGAAAAAATCACGCAAGCCGAATTCAAAGCAAACGCGGTCCTATCACCTCAAAAATTGAAAGCAAGGAAGACACCGTCCAAGACAAGGTCGATCATGTCCGATGCCAATGATCCCTTTGTTCTGAGTCGAACCGAATCCCTGCGGCGCTCGATACGAAGGATTCAAAGCCCTCACATACGCAGTGAGCTTCCGGTGAGCTCCTTGTCAAGTTACGAAAATGAGTTGATGTCGAGCTAAGAAATATGTAATTCATGTTTTGGATAGTCGAGTGGTTTAAGGCCGGCCGCACTTGACCAAGGCGATGACAACAATATGCCTAATACACCCACACCGAAATCGGTTTCGCAAAAACAATTAGAAAGGAATCTTACCCAATTACGATCTCGTGCGAACCTACAATCGAGAAAGCTCCAGCAGAGTGCTTCCCCGCCTAGACCGACCAATCCACCCGCACCCGAGCCCTCGTTACCTTCATCGACCCCGGTCGATCAACCGGACCCCTCTCCATGTGAGACTGTAGAGGCTCCTCAGATCCCTGAATCTAGGTTAAAGACCGTCCATCGATTGAATGCCGCTTTTTGGAACTCCGCCACAATGATCGAGCCACTTCTTGAGCTTTGCCAAAACCTCAAAGAGCAACGCCAAAAAGGAGATAGTCAAGTGGCCTACCAAGATACGATGTAAGTGTGCATAAATTTCAATGATCCTTCAATGTGTGAAAACCCGCATGATTCTTTTTTATATCTAATCCCCATCCCATTATCATTTTGGGGCTTAGTTTTGCGCTGAATCGTCTGCTCGAAGCCTACCCCACATCACCATTAACGCCAGCCCAATTGATCGAAGCAGTACTGTACAAAGATCTCTTAGAGGGACTGTCGTCCTCGTCCGCAGGATCGACCCCACAGAGCTTGGAAGTCTTGTCCCACGAAGGCGAATGGTGTGTGGCCCTCGAGGCTGTCAAGACTCTTCTCGTGAAAGCTTGCGAAAGGTTCGCCGTCGATGCCAGCTTGAATAGGACGGTCGTCTATTTCTTGGTTGGCAAAGGCGTCATTCGTATCGAACGCAGAGCTTCTCCTATTGCTATCTGTATTTGTTGATGAAGAAGACCTTCAATTGTATGCTACTCTTCAATACATGCACCGGTGTACAATTAGTTTGTTTGCTTTTGTCTCAGTAAGTCGCAGCTTGCGATCTCTATTACTGAACTGCTCAACTGTGGTATAAACCAAAACCCGACAAACACTGCTCAATTCCTCTTCTCTGGTGCTGTCCCGGCCTGTGTAGAATCAGACTTGCTAAACGTGTAAAACAAGAGAGCCCCTAGTTGATCAAAAACATAGAAAAGCACAATTAAATAACATTACAAGTGACATTTATCACTTGATGAGAAAATAAGGAAGAAGGGCATTTAAGAAACCACACTAGAGGTGAACATGACTAGCATCAACTGTCCCCCACAGTCTATGGCCTCGGAACTCCATCTTGAGCCTTCTGAAGAGGACTACCTCGCGGCTGCGGCGTGGCTCAGGAACTTGTGAAGCCCCCTCCGGGTTACAGCAGTAGATCCCCGAGGATCCGCTATGCTTATCCCCCGATCACAATCTCAATGTTATAATACATATTACATCCTGGCTCTGCCTGCAAGGGGACTCGGGAGACTGGATTTTTCTTATCGTCGGACTCGAATCGTTGATGAATGGCGAAGATGTCTGGACTGTGTCATCTGAGCTCCAGAATCCAAAGGAATGGCACCCATCCTGCCCATGTCTTCCTTGACCTTTTCGGCACCCTGATTTATCCTGCATTGCCCATTCACATACGATATGTAAGATCGACAGAGATTCTCTTTATTTCTTTCCTGGCCCAGTTTTTCTATGTACCTGTCTTGATTGATAAGATGAATACATTCTAGTGGAGGTGTAATATCACTCATTTAACGCTTTCTTTGATTGCTCATGCGATCCTCACAGAATCAGATTGCTCACGCTAACGGCTTCGGTGATTTCAAGTTGAGTGCGAAGAATTTCAAAACAGGTAATTAATCATTCCTTTTTTTTGTATCTTAAATCGAGCCAAAAAACTAATCGTAAAAATTATATGACAGCTTTCAAGAAGACAAACAAGGAATTCCCAAACTACGGTAAAAATGCTTGGGTTACTGATAACCAGGAAAAACATGTGAGGATGTTGCCAAAAGACTGGTGGTTGAAAGTGGTCAAGGGCACTTTTGAAGACTCTTTGAATGCTCAAGAAAGTCTTCCCAGGCCAAGTAAGTTTGAGTCTGAGTTTTTCGGTTGTTTTTTTTCCCTTCCCTTTTGATTTTGCATCACTGGTCGTATGATGGAGAGCAGAGAAAGAACATTGAACTAAAAGTTTGATTCACTGCACTGTCTTTTTATCTCCAAAATAAATCAAAACAGAACTTAGCGAAATCGAAAAAATCTCAGAACTCATTTATGAAGAGTTCCTGACGAATGAGGACGAGAAGATATACAAGAACTACGAGGATACTTTGGATTTCATAAATTATCTGACAACAGAGAAAATCGGCTTTAGTATCCTGACCAATTCAGATCCTAAGATTCTGAACGCTTTGCCGCCAAGTTTGAAGGAATTGTTATTTTCGAAAGATCAGATAAATTCACAGTTCCAAGCGTTTACTAGCTGGGATATTGGTTTCTCAAAACCTGATCAAAGAATCTGGGATTCCGCAATTTCTCAACTGAATTTAAACAAATCTAAGGATCGTTTGATACACGTAGGAGATGACTTTCAAGAGTTAGTTGATTTCTTCTTCTTCTTTATTTATTTCTTGCCTTCACACTATCCTCCAAAAGTGTTACATCTCATGCTGATCTCATTCATCTAACCTGTCATACGACATTAGGGATTTCTTGGGTGCCAAATCCGCTGGTATAGGTTCGATATGGCTAGATAGACAAGACAACCATCAGAAAATTTCAAAACCTATCAACAACGAGATCGCAAATCATCAATTCAAAGCACATGAACGAATTCATTCTCTAAATGAGCTGATTGGTTTTCTTTAAACTGTTACAATCATTTACAGCATGGTATTTGTAGTAAATGTGCAAGTTAGAGGTTCTTTGTAGGATCTTCGGGCTAATTGGTACAATAATTTGAATTTTCAAATGGATCATCTACAAGTCAAGAGTTGGTGGTTTACACTGAAGGAGAGAGATAAAACAGTACGCAGGAATAGTCAATATTTATCCCCTAGTGAGCTGACAGTAAAGAGAGAGATAAAATCGATTTTTTTTTTGGTCAAATAAACATGAACAATGTCAAAAAGAGAAGACTTCGAAGCCAACACTTTTAGAATCTTTTCGTGATAGGTGGACTCAATTTAACACAGCGGCTGGCTTAGGTAGCTAAGTTCTAAAGCTACACCTCAGAAATGTACGATGAAAAACTTGAATGGACTATTTCCTTTTAGCATTTTTGAGTTGGTCTACCATGCACTTGTCGAACTCTGGCTTCGAATGATGAGACCATGCGCTCGCTGACGGCTTTCCAGAATAGTTCACTGATAGCAGCATGCACTGGACTAGCGAAGGCGAAAGCGAGGTGAAGAGAAATATAGGTCGAGTTACTTGAAGACGGGTCGTTTGTCTGCAAGACTGACTGAGGGAACGAGATCTCTGCTGGACTCTTGAATGTCCAAGTCGAAGTTAAATGTTTGAACAGTTTCGAGTTACTCGCGGTGGCCTATAGCAGTAGGTTGCGGGCAACAGACACTCGATTGGTTAGCTCATGGCTCATTTGAACCTGATGACATAGCTAGCACTTCTGGAAATAGATAATGCTTACTTTAACTGTGTCCCATTTTCGACACTCTACATGACTGATGTACTTTTCCTCAATGCCCTTGAAGCCCACGGAAAGTTCTTTTTGAAGCAAATGAATTTCCCCAGAATATCCACCTTCTAACCAGGGCCTAGCTCGATTGTCCTTTGGGCGTTCTGAGGATGAAGAGTCGCCAAGTGTTTCGACCGAATAAACGTTGGACCCCGTACAGAAAGGCACGAACTGAGGATAGGCCTCCACATCTGCGATCACACCGTAGAGCTGTTCCTTGGTGTAGCTAGATAAAAAAAATCATCAGTTTCAACTCGAGCTATAATTGTTCATACCAATGAGCGGGTCAAACATACGGAAGCCGCTTGGTTTCCTTGTAAACTAGCAGGTCTCCCTTCTTGGAGAATAGTCTATCCTTGGCATACAAGTCTTCGACGCTTTGCACTTCGCTCTCACTTGGTTTCGATGGTGGAAAGGAGGGCAGGTCAAAGAAAGTGCGCGAGAAGAGGACCTTATTGGATTTGTTGATAATCGCTTGCGGCTGAACCTGAGGAAATGACGTCGGCCTAGCCGCAGAAACCAGCTGGACTAACGACCTTGTGAGACCTCTGGCTGAAAGACTGTTTCTGTGATACATCTTTCGTTTATAACAGCTTGCGCAACAACTTCTTTTTTGTTGTCGAAGAGGTGGATTTCTTTTCGCTACTTGAGAGATAAGTTGAGAAAGGTTTTTAGGAGGTTTAAGGCTTTTTCCGGACTGATGAACAATTTTTGGGGTGCTTGACCAAGAGCCAGCTGGATACAAAGAGGATCACTTTCAAATAATAATCAGGTGACAAGGGGAAGTTGCCGAGGATGTTTAATGAGGTTGAAGATATATTTTTTTCAAGCCTCCTCTCGCTATGCTGATGCATGCCCCCTGGGCAGAACACCACGTATAAGGATGCACAAAGGTTGACGCAGATTGGGGTAAATAAATATTTACAACTCAGCACCTTGGCATTGCGGTTGATGCCCACGTCATCTGATCTGCCCCCGTCGATCGACTCTTATTCGCGATGGGGCATGGCAGGCTCGAAGCATAACCTTCAAATGTCACCTTGATTTGGAAAGAAGGGTCTGAATCACTCTGAATCGCCATATCACTTCGCAGAGCTTGAAGATCCTGTCGGCGATATCATGGCATTTATAAACCAATCAACAAATTCTTACATGCAGTAGCTTCGAACTTCTGACATCTTGAGCTTTCTGGACTCCCTCCATGTACACCTGCGTTTGATCAAGCCAAATAACCTGTTGGCATCAATCTCACATATTTTTCCTGAAAGTGGGAACTCGTGTCAGCTGGTTCAAGCCATATGTATGCAAGCTAGTCTATTTATGATTGGCATCTATTGACGATTGGCTTCCAGAGGCACGATGTTCTGAATGCAAACCCAGTGAAGTTTTTATGACTTGAAATTATCCAAACCAGCACCAGTGCCTGATATCAAGAAATTGCTTGATATGGAGTTGTCAAGGACACTTATCAATATAAGTTGAATTCTGACGCTTTTTCTTTGTAGATCTCTCCCATAGGTTCACATTAAGCATCAAGAGATGACTTCCTTTTTGGGATTTACAACCCCTGCAAGACCACTATTTTTGGCAAAAGAAAATTGTTCTTCAGAAGCTTTGCAGTGAAGGCCCTCATTTTAACTAGTCATGGTTTTGATTAAAGTGTTAATTCAGAACTAAAAGAGGTCTTAAAAATACTCTAAATCACAACAGGAAGTCCTCCACTTGATAAAAAGAAATACACTGCATGCAAGGTTTCTGGTTCATCTCACTATCAATTCAAGTAAGGCTTTCTGGCAATCAGCCTGCCTCTGTTATTGTTAGAACTGAATGTCATTTTTCATCTACCTTACAAACAGTGATGGACTGCTACACTACACTACACTCAACAGACCAATAACATTAATGTAGCATCCCTCAAAACAGCACACCAACACTGGATGACCTCCCGTCAGACCTGTGGACCTACAGGCCATACACTGTAGAAGTGCGGTAAGAAATACATGCGAATGCACTCCTACAGTGCAAAAGCGGTAAATCCTGCTCCCAATCCCGATCCCGCAATCCCGCAATCCTCCCGCACCCCCTCCAGTCAACCCAATCAAAGTTCGACTTCAAAAAAAAAAACTCCCTCCTCAATCACCCCAATAGGCCTTAGGCCTTAGGGTTAGGGATTAGCGATAGGGTTAGGGTTAGGGATTAGGGATAGGGTTAGGGATTAGGGATAGGGTTAGGGATAGGGATTAGGGATAGGGTTAGGGATAGGGGTTAGGGATTGGGGATTGGGATTGGGAATACAATCGTTCCGAGGGGGGGAGGATGGCGGGATTGCGGGATCGGGATTGGGAGCGGGATTGTATCCCAAAACACCGTTTTTGCACTACAGGAGTGCATTCATATGTAATTCTTACTGCACCTCTGTAGTGCAAGACCGGTAGGTCTAAAGGTCTCCCGTCAACATCTGCGGGCCTCCCAGTTTTGATTTAGAGCCAAAAAAGCTAGATTTCCCTGCAAAAACCTAGACTTTTTGGGTCTAAATCAAAAATGTGGGGGTCCCAGATCCAATGGGAAGTCCTCCACTGTTGTGTTAGCACTCTGTTAGTCCCACCATGCTGTGCTGCAGCACTTTTAGTGGCAAAACAGTCAACAAACCACTAAAATGTACTGTAGTGCAGCATAGTGGGCCTTTTCTGTGGCCTGCGCATGTAGCGCTAGCACAGTTGTGGCAGAATTATGCTGTGCTACACTAAATGTTATAGGAATTCCACTAAGTTACGCTGTGTAACTGGTCCATGTATGTTACAAATCCCAAAGAATGAAAAGCAAACTTCCACTGCTGCACCATAGCCTACAGGCAAGTCTGAGGCAACAGTGGGTCAGCTATGCTGACTTGAGTGTCAGCAAAATACTGTTAACACTCAGGATATTTTCCTCAGCTGTTAGCAGTATCACACTATTGCTGATGGTCAAGGGGTAATTGGTGTGACCACTACACATCTTCACATCTCTATTTAGAGGAGTTTTCAGCAAAAAGTGGTGTAACACAGTGTAGTGTTAGTCTAGTAACGCTATGGCATCACAAGTTGTTTTTTGGGGTTGCTAAATGTGAAACCCCCTCTGCTGTTGGGTTTCACAAGGCCTTGTCACAGGTCGGTGACATGAGCAACCAGAGTGTATATGGTCTTTTCTTCCTTTACCTAGATGGCAGAGTTCTCTCTCTCCGGTCTAGGTAAGGTTCCTTTTCATGATTCTTTCCTATTTTCTCTTTCTCCTCTGATCAGTCTGAAAGAGGAGCTTTCTGTGACAGGTTCACAATATTCCTGAAAACTCAACAGAACATTAGGATTTTTGAGCAAGAAAACTAGTATTTGCCCCCAATTTTGGGGAGTCTGACTGCCAACCTTGGTTTTGCCCCAAATGTTGGAGGGGTGGGTTTTACTTGATGAGATTTTGCCCCCTTTGGGGATGTTGCTTAAATTCAGGACCTGTCTTGGCCTAACATTGGCCTCAACAAATGTTAATTGGAGGTCGATGCCAGGGTCAGATTGAATGAGGGTTTGTTTGGCTCTCTGAGCCTATTCTTTTAGTTATACGTAGTTGATGGAAAGTATGGTAGGTTATAAGAGAAAGAGCAAGGTGGGATGGACATTTTCTGGAAACCTGATCTGTATTCCAACTTAACATTGTTTCTTACAGTTCTCTGGTTTGTTACCTTTTTTTTGTAATTCTAAGAGGAACCGGACTAGCTGCACACTTTCCAAGTCATCTGATTCCCTCAGGCCCAATGGGTGTGGGAAATGCATGCAGTCATGTCTGATTGCTGGAGTTGGTCTGCGCCACTGTGCCTCCCTCCAAATCAATTAGGACTTGAGCTTGTGGTCCCAATGCTACATTCCAATCTTATAACAAGAATAAAAATTCTCTTCAACCACTCATTTTCATCACCATGTATACTCAAGGGACCTTTGCTTTTTTTTTACCCACACAGTCCCAGTAGACTTTAATTACTATTGATTACAAAGCAATATCAATGAAAATCAAAAATGAAAATGAAATATAATACTATCTATTTGAAGGAATCACAAGAGGGGAGACACTTGCGGTAAGGACGATGACAATAAGAGCAGTAGTTACCCATCCAAAGGTTGTAATTGGGTGCTCGATCAATCCCGTCCATCAATTTGTTTTGGTTAAATGTGGGTTGAATGACGGAATTAACCCAATAATAAAACCTAAGATCATGTAAGGAACTATCCTTGAGTGTAACCAAAAACGTGGTATCCTGTTTTTCTATTGGATAGTTTGGATCTTCAAAGAGGTTACGAAAATACTTGAAGTAACCGTTCAAGAAATCGAGACGCTTATAGAAGCCCGAGTCTTCTTCCATACGTCTTACCGCCCCGTCCAAGATTGGTTTTGCGTACTTGTTAAGAAAGTCTACGAGATAATAGATCACTTGGAATTCCAACCTCTGAGTATGGATCGATTGGGTCTGGGGCGGATCTGTTATAAACTTGATGACCCTCCACATCGTCCCAATAATCCCATAATTTGCGATTTCCATCCAATGGTTCCTTTCGGGGTGAGCCTTGATTGCCAGCAAAATTCTATCGATTTCTGCTAGAAAATTCGTCCGGGTAACCACCTCCCGAATCTTCTCAAATTCGGGGCTAATGTTGTTGCGAACGTTTTCATACCACGGCGCGTGAGACATGATGGTACTCAGGATAAGGTGGACCACATCTCTTTGGTCTTTGGTCGATAGAGCTTTAATGAATGAATTGTTATTATTTTTTTCAGCAGGATGGAACAAGCAAGACCCGGTAATGCGTACGAAAAATCAGCTGATATGATCCCATAAGGAGAGTAAGTTAAGGGTTTGATTTTTTGTCTGGTTGAGAAAAAAAGAAAAAGGAGAGAAAAAACTGACCTTTAATGGGATAATGAAAGTGCTCAAAATTACTGCTGGTAGTCAAGAAATCAATCTGAGGAATAATGGACTGGGGGACTTCGAAAAAATGGGTCTTCCCCTTACAGAAGAGAAGCTCCAGATCAAATTGAATCATTTTAAACAGGGTTGGTTTCTGAAAGAGTGCGGAAGTAGATTGGATGAAATCTGGGCGTAGGAGTTGATAGTTGTGAATCATATCAGCCAGAAGATAAACGGATTCCAGGAATCCACGCTTGAAATTTGAGCCAATGATAGGCCGCATGCCCGCTTGGAATTCGATAAGCTTTTCTTCGAACGGCTTCCAACTCTCCACCCTTTGCTTCAACATAATCTCTTTTGTGACATCCATCACGTCCCGATACAGTTCGGTGCCTATTGCATCACCTTCGTTCTTGGCCGCTCCGCTAATAAATTCTTGCCGGATCACCGGGCGAATCGTTGATGTTCCATCTTGGCTGGTTTCCACGGATTTGGTCCGGCGTGAGGCCTCTCCCTTCGAGATTTGAGCTACACCACCAGGTTGAAGGGAATCAGACCCAAAAGTCAACGGTTTTGCAGGATCTTTTCTATCTGTGATTGACTTGAAAGTGTTGATTGGGGAGCCTACACGGCGGGGGGAATCGAGCGTCGCCATGACCGATGCGACGCTCACTGAAGCGCTTCAGTGACCCAGCAACAAGGGTGCGTCGAGAAAGACGTCGGGTTGTCATTGCGTCGAGGAAAGCGGCCCGGGGGCAGTTGCGATGACGGGTCCTAGGGCGCGACAATGACGCTGCCGAGGTCTCGGTGACCGTGTTCTAGTGGTCACACCTATTTGAGCTCGTTCGGGCGCAGGGCTGTTTGGGCCGGGAGGACAATTGTATGGGCCCGGTTCGGCGGCCGCAAGCGGCCAGGCCGTTTGGGCGGATTGGTTGCAGTCAGTGGGTCATGGGCCCACATGATTCTCCGGCGGGGGGATGGCTGCGGGGCCCCGATCCGGATGGATCGGCCCGTGGTTTTGGGCGTTACCCACAGGGATTGTGTGATTGTGTTATATTTATCAGGAGGCAATGATTTCCGGGCTCTTCGGATGTAGCATGAGGAAGGCCGCAACAACAACAAGTACACAAATGTTGAATGAAATGTAGAATGAAAATGTAATTTAAGGTCTAGCGAACAACATTCAGTACGGATATCTAGAACGAAGATGTAATCGAGGGACAATGTGTGACATGGGTTGTCACACGGCAGGTTGTAGGTTCATGCTTCTTCGGGCTCAGGGCTATGCTCAGGCTGTCCGAGGTCTGAGATGGTTGTCTCGACTTCTATCAACATAATCTGGTGGTCGATTTCCTGCTCGTTGGGTAGCCGCCGTGCACGCTCCGGGATGCTTGCAAGTGTGTTCAGGCCATTGAAGAGCTGACTATCACGGAGGAGAATTGCATTTGCATGGCTGATCGAATGGTTGGATGAGTTAGACTATGATATCGTTTGCAGAAGGTTGGAATGACTCACGCCTGCCGATATATGGAATCACGAGCGGCAAGGGCCTGGAGGTCGCGGTCAAAAGTGTCCCAGTTGGAAGATGAGGGGACACGCCACCCATACTTGTAGTCCAGCATGTGTAGTCGGGTGTGCGCAATGCGCACACGGTCAACCATCCGTCCAAGGGGTGGGGGTTCAAGGGGGGCCGGGTGCAGGGCCCTGCCAGGCTGCTGTTTGTTCCACACCTGGTTAAGGAAGGGGTTGTCAGGTGTGCGCAGGGGGAGTGGGGGCAAGATGATGTTGACATACGTATGCGAGGAGTTCATCGAGGTTAGGGATAGGTCCGTGGGCCGAGGAAAAGGGTGATATCTTGACCATGACCTATGGGGTCTTGTGTCAGGGCCGGTTGGACCAGGTCATGAAACATTTGGTGGGACTTACTGCACGACGCAAGCGCGGTTTCTCTTCGTTTATATTCTCTTGGATCAATCGGCGGATGTGGACAATCGCGGTGGGTTCGGAGAAATTCCATCCTGGGGGTAGCATGTCTAGATCCACTTGGCCGGAGTCAAAAGAGGACCTAATGTGGTCCTGATGTGCATCTGATCGTTGGTTTGGGGGCAAGTGGATGGGGGAACATGAGCAGGTGAGGATTATGAGACTCACGGTCATCAAGGCCATTGGGTGGTTGACCGATCGGGCGGGGGTTGTGTGCGTTGGGTGACTGTAATAATCCAACGTGCCATCGAGGAGGATTGCACGAACGCTATACATGACGTATTCCTGGAAGATTGGTGTCAGTGGTATATATATCGGCAAGCCATTGGTGATTGGGTGGCTGACATTAAAGCTCTGGTCAAATGCAAAGGTGTCCTCGTAGGATGGGGAGCGCGTCTCGCGCGGGGGCGCCAGGCGAGGGTCATTTTGACGGACGGGTCCTTGTTGTGCCGAGACCATGAGGAGAACACTCATGGGCCACCTGTATTCCGGGGAGGTCTGTGAGCAAAAGGAGGTCAGTGAGGTGCCATGAGGATAAGAGGTCATGATGACATGCCTGCCACATACGTCAATCAGCCGGTCTACAAGTTCAATATCAACAGAATCAAGGCCAAGTTGCCTGACCAAATTGTATGGTAAGTGGGCAATCGTGTCTTCAGCACTGATGCGTGGCCAGTATGGGGCCAGAGGGTTGGGACGACTTGATATATTCCTTGCTCGTGCTTGATTGGGGTTGCCAGCGGCAGTATCAATGACATGAGGGGCCCTAGGGAGGAGGCGGGTGGGGATCTGGCTAACAGGTCGCCAGCTTGGTGGGTTATTCATATGCCGTCGGGTTGCTGATGAGAGAGCGGCCCGGGAGGCTGGGGGATTTTGTCTGGTTGAGGTCAGTAAGTGGTTCTTTCTGGTCGTGCACAGTTGGGCTTACACATTAATCGACGTTCAGCTCGGTCATATGTCGGATAGGGGTCAGCATTCCCATAAGGGGTAGGGAGTGGGGTGATCGGGGATGGCAGACGATTGGCAACTGGGACCCTGGTATCGGGGATGTTGGCCATGAGCGGTTCGGCATCATCGTGCTCTGATGATGGGGGTTCAGGCGTGATCTCGGGCATAGCTTGTGTTGGAGAGGGGATCATTGCAGGGCTGGTGTCGTGTAGTGACAAGCCTGATGGGAAGCAGTAAGATTTGGGCTCTGACGGGGTAGAGGTGGGAGGGACTCAAGCGGCGGGTGGTTGTTTCCTCAGATAGGTCTGTCCAAGCTGATGACAATAGCCCGGCCAAGCTGTGGTTCCAAGGGGGGCAATACAGATGGGATACAGATTTTCATACAGTGTGGCTTGGGCCCGCCATGAGGCATCTTCAAGTGGTTCATGTTTTGGGTACCCTTGTAAGGGTTAATGGGAGAAGCGTGATGCATTACGTGGGGATGGGTGATTCATCCGATGGCTAGCAACATATGTGGTGATGGGGGTAGTGGGGTAGAAGATGGTCCCAGGTTGAGATCAAGTAAGTCAGAACTCATTGAATGAGTATCATAGCCTCATTGATTTCTTCTTCCGTCGGGCACAAAGCACACTCTAAGTCTAAGTCCTCAAAATTAGGCGAATCAGCAAACAGCTCATGGTCCCGTTCGGATATGAGATGTCTCCACCTGTGATTAGGCCAAGGGTGAATGTTAGTATCACACGGGGTTCCATTGGTATTATGCAAGCGAATCTCACGCGGCGGTGTAATCAGCAGGCTCCCGTCGGTTCAAGGCCAATTGTGCGTCGATTGTATCCCATTGAGAAACATTCCTCATGTTCGGATCCATGTAATTCGATATGGTGGCCATCCGGAGGTAAGCAAAGCGGACTTTCAATGTGGGGTCGATCTCTCCGTCAATTTGCAACTCAGTTAGTCTTCGCGGGTTCCTTGTAAGGTGCTTCCACAGCAACCTGGATAGCTCGTGTATATTTGGGATTGTATTATTGGAATTCAGGCCTGCAGGCTGTAAAATGCCTGTCAGGAGGATGTTTCGCGCTTTATTCCGGACGTGCTTTGTGATTCCCTTGACCAGGCGGACGACATCGTTGTCCCCAATGAGCAAGTCGCGGATGGCTCCAGGGGGCAGGTGTTGTTCGTGGAATCGTGCGTCCTGGTTGTTGATGTGTCCCTATGTTAGACATTTGGCGGATCAGATGGGGCAGACCGTGACTGGCAGGTATCAGAGGGACTGACCATTACCAAGCTGAGGAGTCCTTGTTCTGGGTTGGGTGCATTGGCACCGGTTCCTTGCGTGTAAGCATCGAGGTCAGGCCGAAGCATGAACCGTCGGGCGCTGTCTCGGATGAAATCCTGTGTCAGGAATGGTGATGGGTGATTTGACATCAGCGGAGCTTTCGCGATTTGTGAGAAGTCACCATACTTGCTTTGAATCTTCGACCAAAAGTAAATGAGGGCTCTGTCCCGGTGGGGTCTGGTATGGCCAGATTGGATGTTACCGGAGGTGGGACCGGCAGAGCCGGGGTGAGCAGAACCGGGCGATTTTCAAGGCGTTCCATCCGCTGGAGTAAGCTTGCGAGGGTTGAAAAGATAGTGGCCTCACGACGGACCAGAGGCATCTGTATCGAAGCCATCCATCCAGATGCACATGGATGAGATGTGTAGACTCGTTACAAAAGGGTGTCATTTGGTTTAGTGTGTGACTCACCGAAGATAACTCTGCGGCCACGTCCCTCGCTTGGATGCCTAGCTCCAATCCGGCCACAAATGCTGTTGTGTTGGGATATAAGTCGTCCTCCACCTCTGAGTCAGAGTCATCTTCAGATGCAAGCGGGTTGGCCTCCAAGCCCGCTTGTGCTGTCGGTGAGCGTGTGGTCGGTGTCGATAGGAGACGAGGTCGGCTCTCGGTTTGAGTAATCAGATCTGCCTCGAGCGCCAAATTTGGGTGAACAATGGATGTCCGGGAACGGTACGGTGCCGGGCGAGAATGACGACTGCGTGGAGCGAGTGTTGGGGTCCTTTGACCTTGAAACAACGGACCCATCCTTGATGGTTGGAGGAGAAAGCCGGCAAAGATGATAACCTGTGAATGGAAGTTGGCTGGCAACCGAGCGCGCGAGTCCAAAAAGATGTGGAACTTGGGAATCCAGCAGGCTGGGGACTGAATGTGTCTGTCCTTGAACATCTGTGGGTGGGTCCCCGGGGCTGTATCAGTCCTGTACACCCAACACACTCAGTGGCTGTGGCCAATGGCCGTGGGCATGGACAACATGGGTGGGCTACCCCATGTATGAAGCGAAATTTTCATTGCATAAAAGTGTCGAGTACAGAGGCCAGCCAACCGGAAAGCCAATGCCATTACATCTCATCAACCGGGTCTAAATCAACATCCACCTCCATTGGTTCGGTCCCGTCATCAGATTCGTCTGAGTCCAAACCGGGGTCATCGGGATGTCCCCAAATTTCCAGGCCAAGGGTGATTGCGTCCCTCCAATTGGCATGGGAGATCGGCAAAGGCCCCGGAAGGCTCATCCGTTGGTGCAACGCAGGGTTGTGTAACGAGGCCCCATTTATGACGAAGTGATCTTTGTCTGAGTGCCGAAGCTCATCGGACTTTTCATTCGTGAGGATCCGTTCGCGGAACGTCGAACCAGTTTGATCGAGGGCACATCTGCCCAACTGGCAATTGTGCTGAACGTTTATGGCACCTTCTACATCCTGAAGTCCGGATTCACCATTTGGTCAGATTGTCTGCCACACAGCAGTCAAGCCTCAACAGGTTTAGATCAAGGGACTCACCGTAGCATTGACCAGGTGAATGTACGCAGTCCGAGCGATCCTCGTCATATCGTAATGTTCGTCATAGCCATCAACATCAAAGCCAACTATATCCAGATGATAAGTCGTTGCAAAACCCCAATCGACCTCCCAAATTGAGTCGACCTCACCTATCATGCACGACCCATTGACGCCTCGTACCTGCCAACAATGAGCCATGTGTCAGCAAGGCCCGCAACCGGAATTCAACCACATCTTCCAAATGACCCACGACCACAAAAAACCCCACCCGCACATCCTCATTCCGTCCCAGCAATAGACCCGCACGCTGACGCACTGGAGCATCCCCCGCCAAGTCGACCAGGCTATCCGGAGGGTTGCTTGTCGATTCACAACGGTAGTGCCCAGCATGGCATGAGGGGTACTCGTCTGGGGCGGGCTGGTACGTATTTGTCGCACTGTATCCCAATGACTCCTGGAGACTGATATTCTCTTCAAAAGCCTGCCGAACCTGAATGGAAGCCCTTGTTAATAACCCGGTTGATTCGTCGAGTAGGTAACCGCCTGAGAGCCAAAACTTGATACAGGCATAGCTGTTGAAAGTGATAGCGATGTCCCTCCCTGGGGCCAGCTTGTTAGAATGGACCGAGGCCTTTCGCAAAACGCCGTTGTATGACTCAAATTTCTCAGTAGAGCAAAGCGAGGCCGGGCCAAATCGGAGGATTCCTTCGGGCAGGTGGCGGAGCATATGAATTTTGGGTTTATTGACCCATTGGGCTGTTGAACTGATGAGATGGTAGAGGAAAATGTCGATGTGAAGTTTCAACTGGATTTGGTAGTCGGCCATGTCTACAATAGTTGTTTGGAATATCAAAGGTGTTAGCCGACACAGAGCCGACCATATCTTCCGTTTTTCCTCAGTCATGTAATCAAAGAAGACAAAGGGTGCACATTGCAAGACGACCTTGAAGTCGCGACCAACAATACTCAGAATGTGTCGAATCAAATAGTTTGGCTTGAGCGAGTCGATGTTCAGTGCGTCACAGTTGAAAGAACGCAGTCGAGCTATCAATTCCAACTTAACTGTTTCTGATAGCGGTTTGACAAAGTCCCGTGCCAGGTATTTCACAATGCCAAGTAAGACAACATGCAGCACCTCCACAGGGGTATCCAAGACCCCATCAAATCCTGACAAGCCCAAATCATACTACACATTAGTATGAATCATTTACCAAGCAAGCGAGCCCGGAGCAGATCGACGGCTTACCGTGCAGTCTTAAGAAAGCATTGTATAATCGATGTGATTGCGTTGATTCCAACCGCTCAACAGTATCCTTCACCCTATCGCTCGTTTTCGCATCCGTCAGCAGCCGGGTGTTAATTGCATCTTTAATTCCAGAACACAGTGACTGCTTTTTGAATTGAGTCATGTTCACCGACATGGCCACAGAGAACAGCCGCTCAGTTTCCTCCCGTGTTCCGGCCCAAGATCGCAACGCATTAGGCAGCTAGATCCCAGAAGAGGAGAACATGTATTGCGATCAACCATCAGTACCGAGCTGGAGCCACAACATGACCAATTGTTTTGATAGACAGACCTCTTCACCCAATTCATCCATACACAAAAACCTCTGTACGTAATCCCTGGACGTCTTCAAGCTCTTCTTCTCACACGAGAGTGTACACACTCGGCACGGATTGAGTGACTGCCCTGGGTTCGGAGTATTGGTGATTTCCGCATGCATTGGCGAGTCCGCCAGGAAGCACAATACCGTCGACATCACCCAAACCGGCTGCCCAATAGAAGCATCGAACGCCCCGTAACCTTTAGTTCCCATCTCACTAATATGCAGGACCATTGTTGGGTCAGCCATCCACAGACCCCCTACCCACTCCAGAACCAAAAAAACTCACTTGAATTCATCAACAACCTGATCTGCAATCTCCAAAGCGCTGCCAATGTTTGAGGTCGACAGGAAGTGGCAGTTGAACTCCTGGTTTGACACATGAGGAGGCAATCCTGATAGTGTAAAATAAAAAGACACATGCTTGTTAAACTGTTTTGATGTATTCCCCGACGTATCATCACAGTACAGGGTAACTGGGACATTCCGGAGGACTTTCCCATCGGCGGCTGTTCTCCAAGGATTCGGCAAGGCGATCTCTCTGTCCACCAGACCATCCGAATCTAACCAGGTACACCAGTGATTTATCAATAGACATTAAATATCATTCGATGACAGGAGATCATAGTTCTTACCATATATGTAGCCTTTACATGCGTCAGTGAGCAATCTCCCATCACCAAAGCGGATTTCCGAGTAAGTCAAATCAAATTCTTGTACGTCGTAAGCGATCAAACAGGGGTCGTCAAATGCGACACTAGATGGAATGGTGATCCTTGTTTGTTCACCCAACTCAGTAACATGATCGGCCCCAATCTCGATACATTTTGCGTGCAATCGCCATCGGTACATGTAAATGAAGATCGGGACGACCACCTCTTTGGTCAACAGCTGAACCGGTTCGAATATGTAGAAATGCTTGTCATTGATGTCGCACATCTGCGCACGGTTCTCGGGAGCCATGTGCTGAAGCCACTTGAGGGATTGAGAAAACCGAGACACGTTTTGGCCCTCGGTGTGGTCTGGATAAAACTCCAAATGCCGGCTAACCAGAGGATTACCCAAGTCCTATCGCCGTTGGAAAATCTTAGTCAGTATAAAGCAGCCACGCGACAGACACAACGATTGAGCAAAGATATACCTGGGAGATAAGCGCCTTGGCACTCAGAGAGAAACACGGAGTATCAAAAACACTTGTGGACGTATTGACAGTCGACCGGGTGATATCTCGGATCCGAGCCCTGGAATCCCGCACAGTGCCCCACTCAGGAACCCGCAGGTCACACAACCGGAGGATACCTCTTATCTTTGAGTACATCTTTCGAGACATCATTGAATGGGTATGACCCATCATGAGAGAACCTATGAGATCCTATCAATGCACCCACATAAACTCAAGATCATCAGCGACTGACTTAATAACGCGAAAGACGAAGAGACATACCATCTTATTCCGAAATGGGAACCAATCTGCCTGGGCCGTTGTCTCGGCCGCGGCAGCCACGTCCGGGACGGCTGGTTGCCCAGGTTCCCGGTCATCATGCTCGAATAAGCCACCCTCGTCATCATGCAGCTCATCGGGGAAGTCTAGTTCATCTTCTACCGGAATGTCCGTTTGAGGGCACGAGTTCGGGTTATCCTCGCGTGAACGGCTTGAGCGGTCGACCCCGGGCGATAGCATCGGCCCCTCGGTTGCGATCGCCCCGTCATTAAAGGCTGGCGCCGTCGGTGCAAGTCCTTGCCGGTCGTCGGGTGCATATGGGATATCGGGCTGCACATCAAGATTATCATGGTTCACATCTTCGTGACGCCGTATTAGATCAGCTTCCTCCCGCCTGGCAATGTTCAGTTGATGATTGTAGCGTCGACTGTGCCGCCGGTAATCCTTGGTGGGACGAGCGTTTGTGCAAATCAGACAGACATAAGACGGGCCATCGGCAGTAGCGATGCAGTTGAAGTCTATTGCAGCAGAAGAATCGTCTACGTGAGCTGGGCCACTATTGGATTGGACAGAAATAAACACGGCTTACACTTTACGGTCGGCATGATGCACAACAAGTTGGACCCTCGGAGTAGTGCAGCGAGTTAGTCAAGTTCCGTCGCACTGTCCCAGCCAAGGTGGGATCAGACGAAAGCCCGACTGGCCGGTCCACAGACCATTCGGCCCGTCTGGCAACTGTTGGCCCACTGGCTCCTGCGGCCCCACCCAATTACCATGGGGCCAATGTCCCCATCGCAGTCATACGGTCCCCGGCACCCTCGCGGGACGCAGATGTTGCCAGGTTGTGACTGGTGCGTCGTGGATCCGCAAAAACGTAAGCGTCCCGGTGACACGACCCTCAGTGACCCTGGGGTGCCGTTCTTGTAACCGGAACAGGGACAGGGCGGTAACCCTGCTGTCACCCGGACGGTGTTTAGGGTCGCGAGGACGATATTTCGTCGGTGACGCTCTGGGCTCGTCAGTGTCCTTTCGAAATCCCCCCGCCGTGTAGTATTTTGCGATATGAGCCCGGCTTATTTGTAGACGAGGACAGCCTATCCAACCGTAAGAAAATTTGTAGAAGCTTCGTAAACCTGTAATGCTTATCAGATCTTTCTTGAATAGCTGTTCCGTCACTGGTTTTGAGTTGGAGACTGGTCATGGACGAGCCAGTGAGGCCACTCAATTGGAAAACCCTGTCTAGGATCGGGTGTTTGAGCGCAAGACGATACGCGTCCAGTTGATATTGAAGGTTTGAAAAGTCCTGGTTAGTTGTCGAGTCCAGTGACTTGATTCGCTTCTCAATCTTTTTGCTTATGTGCTCGAGCGATTCAATCTTGGCTGTTTGTTAAAAGACTGTCAGTTTCTTCATGAGAATCGGATGGGTGTAGACTTGTCAACCCAGAAAATTCTTGCATACCTTTCTTTCCAGCTGGGTCGAGTTCAAGCAGCTGTTGTTCGACTGTAAGTTCCTTTGGCACAGTATTCGTAGAACCTGGTTGTCCAACGTCGTTCAAGAGAGCTTGAAGGATAAGGTAACATGGGATTTAGCATTGTCACCGTCCGATCATGAAGAACGATGGAAGGAGATGAAGTGCACCCTTACCAAGAGACTCAGATGCCGCACTTCTCTCTGCATCCAGCCTGGATAGCGAAAGTCGACCGATTCCTAAGGCGCACAAGGCCAGAGCGCGAAACAGCTTTTTGGTTGTGATCAGCATTTTGACGAGTTGTAGTGTTGCCCTAAGTTGGCACTGGCAAAGAAAGATCTGAACCACGGGTTGGAAAACCTGCTGTCACTGAGATCAGCTCTTCGTGGGTTATCGTCCTTCGATCTGTGTCCAATGATCCATCCATTACCAGGCATCGACTTGGGGTATATAAATGTTAGTCTTAGATACCCATTTCAGAAACAAAAATTCAGTTGTCGAATCATGGCGTCAAGCATGAAACAGAAACTTAACTTCCCTGGTAAGAAGGGAGCTTGGAGACAGCTTGGAGAAATCATACTCGAGTATGTATACCCTGGTCGATGGGAAACGTCTGTTGAAGTCATGGACTCTACATGATACAGTAGTGGACACCATATTATGACTGTAACAGATTTTGTAGTCTCCCAGATGTTGGATGGGAAAAGCTTGGAAAGCTTCACTCGTTGAGGTATTGATGAGGAAGAGGACTGGGGACAACTGGTCAGCGGACTCTTTTCTGCACTCTTTTAATGCCCTCCAAAACCTCCGGTCCAATTGGAAAACTGAGTTAAAATCCAAAACCTATCATAACAACCTCCACAAAGAGTCCCAAAAAAAAATACACTTTAATTCGGGGGGTTTTTGGGACCCCAAATATCCTGGATTTTGCGGGGCGCTCGTTTCAGTACATAAGTATGGTGTCCCCCACTGTATCTCTTTACTCCAAGTCCCTTAACCCACTTGAGAGCCCAACACAAGAGTGGTCTCATGGGTCACAACACTGAGATCAGGCTTGGGTCATGCTTGCCAGCTCATGGCGTGCCTTTTTTTTTTTTTTTTTTAAAAAATGAGAATTTGGCCCAAGGCATTTGACACTAATTAAACTCAGTAAAAAAGTCTGCAGAAGCTATCTACACATGCCAGCCAAGAATCGGATTGCCTGTTACAACATAATTTTGAAAAAGGGACGATTTCGGTGTGCAAAATATGTGTAGTTGATTGATTGATTGTATAGAAGTCAAAGGAAAGGGGCATCGTCAAAAGAAAGGTGCCGCTAAAAATCATCTGGAGATTGCTGGAGGGATGGGGGGTAGGGAAATCCAATTCCTCCTCAGCTGCCAGTGCCATCCCAAATATAAAGAATTCGTCTGGCTTTTACTGTACCCATTATCGGTTCTTGTTCGGAGCAGTCGACAATCATAACCAATATAATTGCAGAAGAATCACCGTATATATCTGTGACCACTTAAAAAAACAAGTATTTCTTCCATACATAAACAAAAAAACACACAAATCTTGGACACTACATAAACCCCAGACCCACAAACACACCAGTGACCAAACCAACCCCCCCCCCGCCCCACACACACACTCTCTCTCTAAGAAAAAAACAAAAAAGAAAGAAAGAAACGGGCTGTGTCCTTTCGTATCTTCTTCCATCTACAACTTGATCACCCACACCACCCACACAACCACCACCAAAAGCAGCACCAAAAGCAAAGAAAACAAGTCCCTTGAAAAAGATATATATATATATATATATAAAGAGAATAAGATAACGTGACTTGCAAAAAAAAAACAAACACTGATTGACCATAAAAAAAGGAACCAAAACAAAGAGGAAAGAAAAAGGGGAGGGGGAGGAAAAGCCGAGAATCCGAAAACAAAAAGAGTGTGGAAAGATCGGAGACGAGAGAGAGAGAGAAGATCAGAATCGAGTAAGAGAAGAGAAGAGAAGAGAAGAGAAGAGAAGAGAAGAGAAGAGAAGAGAAGAGAAGAGAAGAGAAGAGGGGGCTAAAGACAAGAATGAGCGATCGGATGGATAATCGATCTAATGAATGGGCTGATGATGTTGTTGAGGAAGATTAAGATTAGAGGGGGACGAATGGGGATGATGATTAGGGTTGATAGCGGTAGAAAGCAACTGCTTAAGTTTGCGGGTGCCTTTCTTAGCGACCAAGCTCGTAGCCGCGCCGACGTTAGCGACGCTATGGATAGCCGAGGAGGACGAGGCTCCATGATGATGATTGGGATGTCCCAGTAGTAGTAGTACTTATGATAGAGGAGGAAGTCGTGGTGGAGGTGGGATTGAGAGGGACAGTAGATGAGCCCAGATGGTTTGCTGAACAGGCCGATGGGGAGCTCGAGGTAGAGAAGAGGTTGTTCGAGCTCGTCGAGCCTGGGATCAATGAGCCCGAGGAAACTGAGGTCGTTAACGGACCTGAGCCTCCCTTCGGATTCGTCGGCTCTGAATGGCTTGCATTCGACGTCGTCCCGGCCGTCGCGGCGGCTGCGGCTAAGACACTCATGATCCCTCCTCCACTGCTCCCTCCAGCGTGGATACTACTGCTACCAGCTTGATGACTCGAGTGATGACTAGATGATTGTAACCTAGGTTTATACTTGTACGATAATTCGTATTGTGCCTATTATCCCGATCCCAAAATTAAATGCCATCAATCACTATGACCTGAAGGCTTTCTCGAAAGGAAAAAAGATATGATGAAAGACTAACATCTTCAGATAAGACTGGAATCTTGATAATAAGATTCGAGATCTTAGGGTCGAAGACGATCTTAGGAGCCAACAGATTACAATTGATCACAGATGAAGCCGATTTAGCGATTTGGATCATTTTAGTCAAGTTAACTTTCCCGTCTTTCATATCGTCTTTGACCTCATTAACCGCTGTAATATCTTGCAAATAAGTCCCTCTGCACAAAGCATATAAAAAAAAGAGTATCAATAATCACTATCTCGATAAAAGAAATAGCAGGAGAGAGAAAGGCCTACAGATAAGGTACACATTGAGAACTGGCGGTTTGTCTTGCTAATCGATAGGCAGAAAACGAGCGTTGCGAGCTCATAAGTTTCTTCAGACTAAGGTATCTACGATACGATTGAAGGTCCATATGCTGGACGATTTCGAAGGTAGCATCTAATCGATAAACTGGTTGAGCTTCAATCCCCGCTAAAACTCCCATCTTTTTTTTTGTTCAGAAAAGGAAAAAAAAAGTTTCAATTATATATACTCTTCAGTTGCTGAATTTTTTTTTTTTTTTTGGACTGACCAATGAATGAAAATCATCCATATCTCTTAATTCGTATGCGACTTTCATTAACTTAAGCAACACTCTAGCCCGACTTTTCAATTTCTCATGAATAAGGATCATCGAACTAGCCCTAAAAGCCAGACAAGAGATTAATAAATAAAGCACGATTCTTCATTAGAGGTTGACGATTGCTTTTCGAGAGAGGGAGAGAGAGAAAAAAAAAAGAAACTAGGTGACAAACCAAACGGCCAAATAATTCAAATAATCGGTTGATTTAGCGATTGGACTATTGGGATCACGGAGAGCTTTACGCGGATTATTAGGATCTCTCGGGGCCAGAACGTAACGAATCAAATGACGAGGCTAAACCAACCAATCAATCAATCATCCAACCAAGGACATTAGACTCAAACGTGTATTGATGAATTACAAAAAAAAAAAAAATGAAGAGGGGACATGCCTTCATCTTAGAAAAGATATTCCATTCGAGTCGAGTGATTTGCAGCGCGATAGATTCTTCAGGTAGGGAGAGTAGGAGGACCGAGGAGTCGAGGAGCGATTTAAGTTCGGCCTTGTGGTCGGAATGCAAGGAGGAAGAGGTGAGGGTAGATTTGAGGGGCAAGGTAGCGGCAATGAAGTTTTCGGTGGAGTCGAGGGCGGAGAGAGGATGATGGAGATGCTGCTGCTGCTGCTGCTGCTGCTGCTGCTGGAGAAGAAGAAGATCACCAGGTTTCTGAGGATCCTCATTAGATTTAAGGAGAAGATGATGACGGTCATGCGGGGAGAAGGAGTGGACGGGCGAGGAGGCGGCGGTAGAGGCCACATGATCGGTGCTCATGAAAGAGGTCGATGGGAAGTTTTCGAGGCGCGGACTGAGTTCCGAATGCGGATAGTCTACCGACTTCCCCGTCGTCAATGGGGTCATCGGTAAAGCCGGCTCATCGTTCGACTCCGCGGCCACCGATCCTCTCGATTCTGCCGATGAGGATGAACCCATCGGGGCCAAACTCATTTGCAGCTTCTTGATACTCTCTAATACCCCCTTGACCGCCGAGTCTTCCGTGCTGTCAGGCAGAGCCCAGCCCACATCTTCGTCTGCCATGCTCCCGATCGTCTTGATCATCGGCATGATCTCGATCGCGTAATGAAGTAACCATGTCACTGATACCATCAACGAGTTGAACGCTTTCAAGACCGTCAAGGTCGCCGGTTGGACAAAATCCCCCGGATAGATTTCTAGCCAACTCATCAATACATGACAGATCCTAAACAACAATTCAAAGCGAGGTCAATAAAACACCATTGAGAATGATTGTGTTGGCAAGTGAGAGACAACTTACTTCAAATGAGCATATCTTCCTAAGATCGGATCCCTCTCAATATGAGTCGAGACGAATTCGAAGCGAGAGATGAGGGCAGAAAGGACCTCAAAAGGGGTAGCAAATCTACGAAAGATGATCAAGAATTGATCGACAAAGCTCGGTTCTACATACACCCGAAAAAAAAAAGCAAAATCGATCAACAACCCAATTTTAAGAACAGTGAAAAGAATTGATAAAGCTTACCGTTACCGCTAACGGTCGCAAAGACAAACTTATCGATGATCACTTGTTTCTCGAAATGCAAGTCCATATCAACGCCTCTCCTGCGAGCGAACGAACCCAAACCAAGAAAGCACGATGAATATTTGAACCAGAGGAACGAAAGCGAGGGAGAGAGGGTTAGGGAAGAAGGACGTACTGGCTCATAGCGATAGCCTTCTGGACGGCATGTTTGCCGGATCCCGAGAGTCCTTTGACGGGATCGACGGCCCGACTGAGGTCCTCAGACGGAGCATTCTTAGAGTGGATAGAAGGCTCCGAGGAAAGTGACGCCGGGTTCAACAAGGATGATGTGTGAGCGCGATCGGCGACTCCGAGGTTATTGGGGGGCGACGATGGAGTGGGTTCAGATGGTGGATCCGGCAATTCGCCATTCGGTTTCCTATCTTCTCGTGGCGATCCAGGCGTGCTTCCACCATGCATAAAACTTCCATCCGGTCGAGCTGATACATGAAAAAAAAACGTTTAACAAAGAAAAAAGAAAACGCGGTGTCACAAGTATGGTGTATGAAGGGAAGAGGATCTATACTAACTCGACTTCTCATAGGACATCGCTACCAATGCGTTATTGGAGAAACTATCACCCTGTAAGCGTATCGATCAGCCGAAAAAGGGAAAAGTTAGGCGCACAAGAAACGCGATTTTTTTTGGTATGAATGAGAGAGAGAAGACGAACATCAGCATCATCGAGATGTAGGGAGGGATCGAGAGGAAGGACGGGGGAAGAAGAGGAGATGAAGAGGCGAGCAGGGGCGAGAGTGGATGGGATCTTGGCGGAGGGAGTCACGGCGGCCAGAGGAGCATGCGGAAGCGCTTTGCGGGGCGTGCGTCCCGGACTAGGGACGGCGGTCTTTCCAGAAGGACTAAGAATGACAGACGCGGGGTCGACAGGTTGGTGGAGTTCTTCCTCGTCGGAGGCCGTCGATCCTCCACTCATAGCCGAGATCTGTTGGCCTTCCGTCACCGCGCCTCCTACTCCGCCTCCAAGCGTCATCATCCCCATCGTCGTCATCGGTGATGGCGACGCCACAATCGATGATGATGACGTCGAGCCTCGTCGCTCTTCGTCGCCATATATCGATCCTAAGATGTTCGTCGATGATGCACTACTGTACGAACGTCGTTCACCTGGGTGATAAATCAACCCGAACTTGATTAGATTTGTTTATCAACCTAAAGAGAAAGAGAAAGTGGTTGTTACCTCGAGCTTCTTTGATAGCTTTGACGATCCAATTGAACGAGTTTCTCATTTTTTTACCCGGATCCTCGAGCCCGCCATCCAACTGAATCATACCTATGCCCAAAAACCTGAATCAATTTTGATGTTTCTTCTTCTTTCTAAAGAAGGAAGGAAATACCAGTGCCATAGACGTTGACCAATTCGGCAGCTTTGAGAGGATTGGTGGCGTTCTTGAGCTCTTCTTTATCTGATTTACAGGCCAACACGATCAACGAAATCCCTCCTCGAGTCCAAAATGAATCTATTTTTTTTTTTTTTGAAAAACGCCCCATTTAATACCAAGACAATGCTCTTTCGTTGTGGTTTTTGGAGGTAGAGCAGTGAAGGAGAAAGAAAGAGAAAAAAAAACTTACGTAGTAATGGACGTAAATGGTCTAGCGCCAACGGATCAGTAGCATCATAACTACATACACAATCAAACCTCAATCTCAATCTCAACTGACCTACAGAAAAAAAGAAGTGAAAGAAGCCAACCAAAGAAGAACACCGTCGAGATGAGGCAGATTAGCCGGCCAAACGAGCCCTTCTTCTTTACCAGCAGAGCTCTTTTTGATGGACTTGTTTTTGCTGTTTTTATTGCTGCTGATGATACAGTTCTCGTTAAGGATGGATTGGTCGATTTCGAGGATCTGCAAGACTTTCTTGTTACCGGTGGCCTGATTAACGATACTTGAAACCATCGACGTAACTATCACAAACAAAAAACAATCACATGAGTTTTTGTTTTTTTGTCAAAAAAGGGGGGAAGGTATTTAAAATAAAGAAAAGAAGAAGACACACTTCGATTATCAGATGGATCATGATAGAGGACAACTGCGTGCTGCTCGTCGACCGGTTTCCTTAACGCCTTCGAGATGATCGTTGATTTGCCGACCCCTTTAGGACCCGCGACGGCGATCACGAAGTCGGCTTTCACATTCAACGCTTCCCTCTATTGTTATTGTCCCCCCGACATGACCAAAAAAAAAAAAAGAAAAAGTCAACAAGAATGAATGTATATGCAGAGAGAAGAAGAAAAGCTTACAGTTTCAGGAGTGTCGATCAGTTGTAATTCGGCTTCTTCTTCTTCTAGTTCTTCTTCCAAGGATGCAGAAGGACGATCAGAGGTCTCAGACGAAGGCAGCGGAATCCCAGTAACCGAAGAAGACGGTTGAGCGGTAGATTGAAAGAGTTTGAGCAGTTGGGCATGGTCCAAGATCCGGGGATCCAGATGCTGATGAGCCGACGTGCCGACATGAGCCGTCGATTCCAGGCCGAGATCCTTGAGGACCATCTCTTTAGCAAGATGGGCGGGGATCTCTTTGCCCAGGTTGGCCGATTGAAGAGGGGAGGGGGAGGAAGAATGGAGCGAAGCGTGATGATGCTGGAAAGAGTGGTCAAGATGATGCTGATGGTGAGGATGGGCGATGAGACTCCTGGTTTTTCGGATGAAGGTGTCGCTAAGACTTCGACCATGAGAAGAGGAGGAGGAAGAGGAGGAGGAGGAGAGTTTGTTATCAGTAGTCGAGAGTAAAGAGATAGGGGCGGTGTGCGCGGCGGCGACAGTCTGTGCGGCCGGTTGGACCAGAAGTGGATTGGATGAGGAGGGAGGAGGAGGAGGAGGAAGATCGGGGCCCGGGTTGGGCGGATTTTGGAAGGAGGGAGAGGAGGAAGCGAGGAGGGCTCTTCGGGCCTCGATCTGTTGGCGCAGGCCGCCGCTTCCAGTATGTTGCCGGACGAGGTGGTGGGAGGAGAAGTTGATGACCGACTGGGATCTGGATCGGGAGCGATCCGGGTGGCTGGATGAGCTAGCAGGGATGGAGACGTGACGGGCGGAGAGGGAGGTGGGGCCATCATCGCCGACGACGAAGTGAGTCGATGGAATGGGTTGGTGGTGGATGATAGATGGTTTGGATGGGAGTGGGATCCGACTAATGTTGCCGAGGAGGTTCTGCTGGGGTGAGCCTGCTGGGACCAAAGTGCTTTGAGTGGTGGTAGTGGTGGTAAGATTGGTGGTGCCAGTCGAATCGGGATCCTCAGGCGTAGATGGGGTGTTGTGTTCTTGGGGGATCAGTAAGTTGTCCTCCTCGGGACGATTGGCACGCAGTTCGTGAGTGAAGGTCTCTCTGTTCGACCAGGGTGGCTCGTTCTCCATGATCAGTAGATCGTCCTCTGCGATCTCGTCCTCGAGCGTCACACTGACGGCGGTGGATGACCATCGGTCGGAGGAGATCGTCGTTGGGGGCAGGTTGGGTCTTGATGAGGATGAGAGGGATGATTCGTCGAGGGAGGGCTGTCTGAGTGGTTTGGCTGGACGGGAGTGAGGCTGGTTGTTGTTGTTGGTTCTTCTGCTGGAAGGTGTTGATGTGGAGGTGGTGGAAGTGGAGATGGATGATGATGATGGGCCGTGTGTGTGGAAGATCTGGTCGACTGAGGCTCTGCTGATGTTGAAGTGTTTGGATGCGTTGATGGATGAGGTGCGGGTGGCAGGTTGTTCGAGCTTCTCGAGTGGCTGTTGTTGTGGTGGTAGGTGTGGGGATGACTTGCTGGTGCTGTTGTTGTTGTTGTTTGAGAAGATGCCGTTGATGATTTCGGATCCGATGAATCTCGATCTGGGTTTGTTGGGATCGGTGTTGGTTGATGATGATGATGATGGTGTGGTGGTGGTGGTTGACTTTGGGCTGAGGTGGGTTTGGATGTAGTGATCGAATGAGAAGCTGGCCCTTGCTCGAGTGGATGCTGATGATGTAGTAGTGGGTGTTGTTGGTTGTTGTTGTTGGTATGGATGGTTTGTTTGTTCGTTGATTTTGGTTCTTCTCTGTCTGGGTTGGGTCTGTTTTGTTGAGGTCTTCTTGGTGATGTTTGTAGTTGGTTTGATGGTGAGTTGTTGTTGTTGCTGTGCAGTTGAGCTGAATCCGATTCGATTCCAGATGGTTTCCTTGTTCTTGTTTTCCATTTGTAGTTCAGTTGTTGTTGTTGTTGTTGTTGTTTGCTCTTCTGTTGTTGGTTGGTCTCTGGCTAGTGCTGCCAGTAGTTCGTCTGGTATCACTGGAAGTCGAGACATCATCAATCAACTAGGCTGGCTGTGCTGTGAAGCTGCTCAACAGTTGGCTGACTTGACCAGAAAACAAGAGAGCACACCACCTATCACTCCCATGTCAGACACCTATCACACTCGCTCAGATCGGAGTACAAACAAACAAGCACTCAACTGCATCATCAAATATCATTGCTGTCTTCGGAGAAAAAAAAATAAACTCAACCATCATACATATGTACATAATGAAAATTGAGTGATCCTCCATCACTATGTACAACACCCAAATAACAAAATTCAGATCATTCAATCTTCACTCTGGCCACAACAACTGTGCATTGCTTCTCTCATCTCTCCCTTCACTCTCACAAATCACACCTCCCACAAAACGATGAGAAAAAACTACCACACTAGACTGAAACTTAACAATTTACTTGCTTTTCTTTTCAACTAGTTTCAGAAGAAACAACATGAAAAAGACCAACCCTTGAACTTCAGCCACACTTGATGCTGTGGTTGATCTAATCAGTTTGAATCCTTATAATATACTCTCAATTATCCTAATTTACACAAAACACTGACAATAAGCCAAGAGAACTATTCTTCACTTTCAAGTTTCAGGCTGAAAAAAAAAAAAACTGATTTTTGGTGATGGTCACTACAAGGAAGATAAATTCCAAAAGGAAAATCAAATCATGCCCATACAATCCAGGCCCTTATTATAAGCTTATACAAGAAGAGTGTCTGAACTAATTGGGGAAGGCATGGAGACTGTGTACAGTGCCTAGACAGTGAAAAGTGGCTGCTTGTTTTGGATTCCAGAGCTCCAAAACACAGACTTGAAGTCATGAGACTTGGTCAGGTGGTGCATAATAGGTCCCAGAAAATGAATATGAAAAAAATAAAAACAAAAACAAAAAATAAAGTTTCAAAAATTGTGAAAAATAAAAAAATAAAATTGATTTTTTTTTCAAAGGCTTTGATATGCATTTTGGGTGAGTTGGAGTGCTGAGAGAAGGAAAGATTGCGAAATGAGAAGAATGATTATAAATGAAAATCTTGGAAAAATTGGTTTTTAGATGGCTTCAAACAGCCCTTGAGTGGGGCATTCACCAGCCCACATTGTAGTAAAGCACTAGAATGTACTGTTTTGGCTCTCCAATCTGGACAACCAACCTGGCTAAACCTTTTTTGGTTCCAATTTTTTTTTTTCATTTATAATCATTCTTCCCATGTTCCACTCTTTCTTTCTCTCAGCACTCCCACTCCCCCAAAATGAATATCAAAGCTTTTGAAAAAAATAAATTTTGTTTTTTTATTTTTTTACAAATTTTGAAACTTTATTTTTTTTTTGATTTTATTATTTCATATTCATTTTTTGGGACCTATTATGCACCACCTGACCAAGTCTCATGATTTCAAATTTGTGTTTTGGAGCTCTGGAATCCAAAATCCCCAGCTAACTTTTCACTGTCTAGGCACTGTACATACAAGGACTCTTAGTCATGCTGATCTTAGAATTCAAACCATTGT